GAATTCCAATCACCTCTAGGAAGCCCCACCTGCTAAGACCATCCTATTGTGGGTTAGGGCTTCTACATGTGAATTGTGGGTGAACGCAAACATCCAGTCCATCACATCAGCCTTCAGGGAACACTGTTCTATACACAAGGACAAATACAGACACATCAACACAACTGGGATGCACCCTTGCTTTATTCCCCAGCCTTCCTGTGGAATGTAACATACAGCAACGTGCACGAAAATTTATAGTCTAACAAACACTTAGGAAGTGAAAATTCGTAGAATCAACAGGCTGATCAGGAACAGAACGCTGTGGCAGGTGCTTGGTGAAACACTTAAGACCCTGCTTGGGACTCCCACAACCCCATATTTCCACGCCTGGATTCAAGTCTGATTCCAGCTCCCCACTAGAGCACACTGAAGGGCAGCAGGTGATGGGTCAAGCGCGTGGGCCCCTGCCACCCATGCAGGAGACCAGGATGGAGTTCCTGGCTCCTGGGTTTGGCCCGGCCCCACTGCAGGCATCTGGGGAGAGTGAACCAATGGATGTCACTCTGCCTTTCACATACCTAAATAAATCTTAAATGAAAAAGAGGTGTCCTAGATCTAATGTCACTGCAATTATTAACCACGCACTTCATTGTTAGTGCCTTTGCATGCTATCTTAGACTCCCCCCCACCCCAGGATTGCATTCTCATCTAAGATCTGTGACAGCCTTGCCTTTCACACTGAAGACGACGGAGCTGATCTTCCCGAAAGAAATCGGGTTCAACCGCATCTTTGCTAAGTCCCAGCTGTTTTGCTCTTGTTCCACCCAGAATGTCTCAGATCTGCCGATGTCAGCTCACACACACGATTTCACCCTGAGGACGAACCATCGTTTGAAGGACAGTGAGCATGCTCATGGCTGTGCCTACTACAATGTTTCAAAGAACCACTTCACATGTGATTCCTCACACATATGCGTGAACATATTCATCACGCAGTTTCCAAAAAGTGCTGCTGCTGCATGAAGAGTATATGAATTTTAAATTTTCCTAGAGTTTCTGGTCTTACTTTTAAGAATTAATTCCCTCTCAAAATTATTAAAAATTCCCCCCAAGTTTGCCTCTTATAAAACTCCATTATATTTTTAAGTCTGGGAGCCATCTGGATTTTATTTTGGGGTAAAGAGCTTGGGAGGGATCCAGATATATATTTTCCAAATGTCTGGCCAGTTGTCCCCAAATCGTTACTGAATAATATGTCTTTCCCCCATTGATTTAAAATGCCATCATTACCATATACTAAATACCCAAATGCACGCAGGTCTATTTCTAGGCTTTCTATTCTTTCCCTTCAATCTGTCTACCCGCGTCTATTCCATCGTGTACAGCACCACACTATGCAACGTCAGCCAGCCCCTGCACACAACTTTTCTTCCTACCCTTCCTGTGTGTAGCTCTCAACACTGACCTTCAAGCCTGCTTGCTTACCGTCTAAGAAATCTAGTGTCGTTTTGCGGCCATATAAGGGCAGAGGTTCGTTCAAGAGAACGTATATCTTTACAGGATTCAGGCTTCCTACCCAGGAATGCTGTCTTTCCTATCATCCACCTCCTGAGTCTCCGAGCGGGACTTCAGAGGCACACACAGCGTGCTCCCCACACACTCTCCACGCTGGGCTTCCATCCAGGCCCACAGCGTCTACCTCAAGAACACCTTTCATTGCATGTTCAGTCGGGGCCAGCCAGCAATAGAGCTCCTTGGGCTTCTGATGGTCTGTAAATGCTGCTATTTCACGTTCTCTTCAGAAAGATAATCTCCCTGGGTATAGAATTTTAGCTTGGCTGATGCTTTCTTCCAGCGCGTTAGACCAGTCCATCACCTACTAGCTACTGCCACTGCTTTTGAGGCTAGCTGTCAATCACGTTAGAAACCACCACCAAAACCCAACGGTTTAAAGCGATTGTTGGCCGGCGCTGTGGCTCACTAGGCTAATCCTCCGCCTGCGGCGCCGGCACCCCAGGTTCTAGTCCCAGTTGGGGTGCCGGATTCTGTCCCGGTTGCTCCTCTTCCAGTCCAGCTCTCTGCTGTGGCCAGGGAGTGCAGTGGAGGATGGCCCAAGTGCTTGGGCCCTCACCCCATGGGAGACCAGGAGGAAGCATCTGCCTCCTGGCTTTGGATCAGCGCAGTGTGCCGGCCATAGCAGCCATTTCAGGGGTGAACCAACAGAAGGAAGACCTTTCTCTCTGTCTATCTCACTGTCTAACTCTGCCTGCCCAAACCCCCTGCCCAAAAATAAAAAAGTAAAGCGATTGTTGGAATTCCTCACAGCTGGGTGAGTACTGGGGCTCAGCTCCACCTCTTCTCCGTCACCTGGGGCGCCAGGGTAGCCCACTCAAGTCTTTGAGGAGCACGGGAGCAACCTAGAGTCGGGACCAGCACCTCGGCCCACTGGCCACGGCATCCTCACCCTGCAGGCCCAGGCCAGCCTCAGTGCCGACCCCAGAACGGGCCGAGGAGAAGGCCCTTCATCCACATCACAGGACCAGCACAGACAGCTAGAGGAGTGGGACTGTCCACACAATCTCTCGCTTGCTCTTGTTTCTGTTCCTTTGGCTGATACGTCTTTTCGCTGTTTATTTTTTGTATTTTCAACAATTTCACTAAACTGTTCCTAGGCTGTTTCTTCTCCTCCTCCTTCACTTCCTCCTCCCCTCCCCCTCCTGTGGATTCTAGTGCCTCTTAAACATTTCTCTGTCCCAATCATCACTCTGCTCTCTGAGACTGCCCCATACCTCCCTCCCTCCCTCCCTCCCTCCCTCCCTCTCCCTCTCTCCCTCCCTTCTTCTCTCCCTCCCTCTCCCTCCATCTCTCTCCCTCTCCCTCCATCTCTCTCCCTCCCTCTCCCTCCATCTCTCTCCCTCCCTCCCTCCCTCCCTCCCTCTCTCCCTGCCTCTCTCTCCTTCCCTCTCCCTCCCTCTCTCTCCTTCCCTCTCTGTCCCTCCCTCCCTCCCTCTCACTCCCTCTCTCTTTCTGTCCCTCCCTCTCTCCCTCCCCCTCTCGCTCTCTCTCCTTCTCCCATCTCCCCTCTCTCTCTCTTTCTCCCCCTCTCACTCACTCACTCTCCTTCCCTCTCTCTCTCTCCCATCTCCCCCTCTCTCTCTCCCTCCCTCTCTCTCTCTCCCTCCCTCTCTCTCTCTCTCCCCCTCTCTCCTTCCCTCTCTCCCTCCCTCTCCCTCCCTCCTCTCCCTCCTTCTCCCTCCCTCTCTCCCTCCCTCCCTCTCCCTCTCTCTTTCTGTCCCTCCCTCTCTCCCTCCCCCCTCTCCTTCTCCCATCTCCCTTCTCTCTCTCTCTCTCTCTCTCCCCCTCTCACTCGCTCACTCACTCTCCCTCCCTCTCCCTCCCTCTCTCTCCCTCTCCCATCTCTCCCTCTCTCTCTCCCTCCCTCCCTCCCTCCCTCTCCCTCTCTCCCTCCCTCCCTCCCTCTCGCTCTCTCCCTCCCTCTCCCTCTCTCCCTCCCTCCCTCTCTCCCTCTCTCTCTCTCTCCCCCTCTCGCCCCTCTCGCTCGCTCGCTCTCTCTCTCATCCATCCTATCTTCTCTCTGCTCCTTCCCAATCTGTGTCAAACCCACGGACTGCATTCCTCAGTTCTGGTAGTATATTTCCCAATACTAGAATTTCCACGTGATTCTTCCCTAGAAATTGCAATTCTCTGAAATTCTCCACTTACCAGCTACTGTTTGAATGTACTAACCACCATCCTTGTAGTGTCCAAGTCCAGTCACATCAGTGCCCATGACCCACTGCATCTGGGTCCACTCCCTGCCTCCACTCCCTTGGCCGGCCACTGGACATCCATGGTAACGTCTGAACGAGCGCTGGACAGTGTGCCCGGAACTGAAGAGGCTCCAGCTGACACAATGCACCCACAAGTCTTTTCTACTGCCAGCCAGAGGGTAGGAATAGATTATCCGTGTGCAATCCTGGACGCAGCTGGCTTGAGACTGTGAGTCCCATCAACCCTTTCTCCCTCTGTAGTCATGGCCTTTGAGGGATCCCAACCGACGGCAGAGGGTGCCAGCAGGGTCCTCTGCCCTCAGTGGGCCCTGATGGACAGTCTGTACCCGCCCTGCAGTTCCAGGGCCTGCTCCTCAGAGCTCCTTGCTGCCCAGCTCACAGCAAAAACAGCTCAGGCAACCAGGCCCACGGCTCTCTCCCCTCCCTGCCAGGTTCCAGACACCGTGACAGCTCTGCACTCCTCTCCCAGCCTGCAGAGACCACCGAGACAACCCAGCTCCCCCTCCCACCAGCGCTGATCATCCAGTCCCTGGGGGATGCTGCTGAGGTCGGCTCGACTGGTGCTGCTTCTCCCACCACTTTTTTTTTTTTTTTTTTTTTTTTTGACAGGCAGAGTTAGACAGTGAGAGAGAGAGACAGAGAGAAAGGTCTTCCTTCCATTGGTTCACCCCCCAAATGGCTGCTACGGCTGGTGCTGCACCGATCAGAGGCCAGGAGCCAGGTGCTTCTCCTGGTCTCCCATGTGCTTGGGCCATTCTCCACTGCCCTCCCGGGCCACAGCAGAGACCTGGACTGGAAGAGGGGCAACCGGGACAAAATCCGGCACCCTGACCGGGACTAGAACCCGGTGTGCCGGCGCCACAAGGTGGAGGATTAGCCTAGTGAGCCGCGGCGCCAGCTCAGCTCTCCATTTCTATGATAAGTGTGTACCGTCACCCGAGTATTGCCAGTAGCTTCTTGGTATCTGTTCAGGTTTTCTGGGTAAGTGATCAGGATTGCATTGTCTGCAAATAATGACCAAGTGGTCATTCACTTTCATTTGCTTCTCAAGCCTGGATGTTCTGATTCGACTGGCCTTGGGCAGACTGTAGACAATGGTAGCTCTTCAAAGCTCCTAGGTGGTTCTGATGAGCGCTGGAGGCTGGGCAGCCCTGGGCTGATCCTGCGAACGCTATGCTAACTGAAAGAAGCACTGATGGTGGTTATGCAAGCATTAGGAGTCTTCAAAGGGATTCATGAAAAATGCATTTGATGAAAAAATGTGCAGGGATTTAAAAAACATTTAGTGCCAAAATTAACTTATCTTTTAATTCCTTGTTCTATGAACTTTTTTTCTTTTTCTTTTTAAAGATTTATTTATTTTACTTGAAAGTCAGAGTTATGCAGAGAGAGACAGAGAGCCTTCCATCTGAGGGTTCACTCCCCTGTCGCTCCCCCTCTTCGTGGAGGAACGACACTAAGCCCTGCCCAGGCTTCATATCCGAGTCACGGCACCATTATGTCGCTCCCCCTCTTCGTGGAGGAACGACACAGGACCCTGCGCTGTTCTTTCGTCTGCTCGGCCCTCCCCGGGTTTGCTGCTGGTTCTTCCCGGGTTGGCTACTATCCCTTCCACCTCCGTGGAATGGCGGTTCCCCCTAGCCACTTTCCCCACTTCCGCGGGGGAGCGGCACACCGCCGGCCGGCTTTCTCAGGGGCTGCACAGGTGTTCCTTCAGCTAGATGTTCCCCTTAGATGTTCCTGGTGCATGCCGTCCCTCCCCTCCTCCACAGTCCTCCTCCGCCAATCCCAACTCGGCCGCCCACACACCGAGTACGCTGCTCTCCAATCAGGAGCAAGTCCTACAGTTTATTGGCTGAACTGGAGGCAGCTGTGTAGAAGCCTCTTTCTTCTCTCCCAGCGCCATATTGTGGGAGAGCAGATGCATAGAATAAGTCCCAATTCCAGTAACAGTATAGTCCGAATTGCTCCCCACACTCCCCCAACTGGCCACAACAGCCAGACCTGCACCAATCCGAAGCCAGGAGACAGGAGCCTCCTCCAGGTCTCCCATGATGGTGCAAGGGGCCCAAGGACTTGGGCCATCTTCTACTGCTATCCCAGGCCACAGCAGAGAGCTGGACAGGAAGGGGAGCAGCCAGACCTCGAACCAGCAACCATAAGGGATGCCGATACTTAAGCCAGAGCGCTAACCCGGTTCTCCACAGCGCCGGCCCCCCATGAACTTTTCAAAGTGCCTTTTTGTGTACACCTGCCTGTGTGGACACTGCCCCAGTACTAGTCAGTGTGATGGGTAGACAGGTGTGTACACTTGTCCTGTGTGGATGCTGCCCTGGTACTTGTCAGTGTGATGGGTAGACAGGTGTATACACTTGTCCTGTGTGGACGCTGCCCCAGTACTAGTCAGTGTGATGGGTAGACAGGTGTGTACACTTGTCCTGTGTGGACACTGCCCTGGTACTTGTCAGTGTGATGGGTGTACAGTGTGTACACTTGTCCTGTGTGGACACTGCCCTGGTACTTGTCAGTGTGATGGGTGTGCAGGTGTGTACACTTGTCCTGTGTGGACACTGCCCTGGTACTTGTCAGTGTGATGGGTAGACAGGTGTGTACACTTGTCCTGTGTGGACGCTGCCCTGGTACTTGTCAGTGTGATGGGTAGACAGGTGTGTACACTGTCCCCTGTGTGGATACTGCCCTAGTACTTGTCAGTGTGATGGGTGTACAGTGTGTACACTTGTCCTGTGTGGACACTTCCCTGGTACTTGTCAGTGTGATGGGTAGACAGGTGTTTACACTTGTCCTGTGTGGACGCTGCCCCGGTACTTGTCAGTGTGATGGGTGTACAGTGTGTACACTTGTCATGTGTGGACGCTGCCCTGGTACTTGTCAGTGTGATGGGTAGACAGGTACGTACACTGTCTCCTGTGTGGATGCTGCCCTGGTACTTGTCAGTGTGATGGGTAGACAGGTGTGTACACTTGTCCTGTGTGGACACTGCCCTGGTACTTGTCAGTGTGATGGGTGTGCAGGTGTGTACACTTGTCCTGTGTGGACACTGCCCTGGTACTTGTCAGTGTGATGAGTAGACAGGTGTGTACACTGTCCCCTGTGTGGATACTGCCCTAGTACTTGTCAGTGTGATGGGTGTACAGTGTGTACACTTGTCCTGTGTGGACACTTCCCTGGTACTTGTCAGTGTGATGGGTAGACAGGTGTTTACACTTGTCCTGTGTGGACGCTGCCCCGGTACTTGTCAGTGTGATGGGTGTACAGTGTGTACACTTGTCATGTGTGGACGCTGCCCTGGTACTTGTCAGTGTGATGGGTGTGCAGGTGTGCACGCTGGCCCTTTGTGGACACTGCCCTGGTATTTGTCAGTGTGACGGGTGTACAGGTGTGTACACTTGTCCTGTGTGGACACTTCTCTGGTACTTGTCAGAGTGATGGGTAGACAGGTGTATACACTTGTCCTGTGTGGACACTACCCTGGTACTTGTCAGTGTGATGGGTGTGCAGGTGTACACTGTCTCCTGTGTGGATGCTGCTCTGGCACTTGTCAGTGTGATGGGTGTGCAGGTGTGTACACTTGTCCTGTGTGGACGCTGCCCTGGTACTAGTCAGTGTGATGGGTGTGCAGGTGTGTACACTTGTCCTGTGTGGACACTACCCTGGTACTTGTCAGTGTGATGGGTGTGCAGGTGTACACTGTCCCCTGTGTGGACACTGCCCTGGTACTTGTCAGTGTGATGGGTGTGCAGGTGTGTACACTTGTCCTGTGTGGACGCTGCCCTGGTACTTGTCAGTGTGATGGGTGTGCAGGTGTGTACACTTGTCCTGTGTGGACGCTGCCCTGGTACTTGTCAGTGTGATGGGTGTGCAGGTGTGTACACTTGTCCTGTGTGGACGCTGCCCTGGTACTAGTCAGTGTGATGGGTGTGCAGGTGTGTACACTTGTCCTGTGTGGACGCTGCCCCGGTACTTGTCAGTGTGATGGGTGTGCAGGTGTGTACACTTGTCCTGTGTGGACACTGCCCTGGTACTTGTCAGTGTGATGGGTAGACAGGTGTATACACTTGTCCTGTGTGGACGCTGCCCTGGTACTAGTCAGTGTGATGGGTGTGCAGGTGTGTACACTTGTCCTGTGTGGACACTGCCCTGGTACTTGTCAGTGTGATGGGTGTGCAGGTGTGTACACTTGTCCTGTGTGGATGCTTCCCTGGTACTTGTCAGTGTGATGGGTGTGCAGGTGTGTACACTTGTCCTGTGTGGACACTGCCCTGGTACTTGTCAGTGTGATGGGTGTGCAGGTGTGTACACTTGTCCTGTGTGGATGCTTCCCTGGTACTTGTCAGTGTGATGGGTGTGCAGGTGTGTACACTTGTCCTGTGTGGATGCTGCCCTGGTACTTGTCAGTGTGATGGGTGTGCAGGTGTGTACACTTGTCCTGTGTGGACGCTGCCCTGGTACTAGTCAGTGTGATGGGTGTGCAGGTGTGTACACTTGTCCTGTGTGGACGCTGCCCTGGTACTTGTCAGTGTGATGGGTAGACAGGTGTATACACTTGTCCTGTGTGGACGCTGCCCTGGTACTAGTCAGTGTGATGGGTAGACAGTGTGTACACTTGTCCTGTGTGGACACTGCCCTGGTACTTGTCAGTGTGATGGGTGTGCAGGTGTGTACACTTGTCCTGTGTGGATGCTGCCCTGGTACTTGTCAGTGTGATGGGTGTGCAGGTGTGTACACTTGTCCTGTGTGGATGCTGCCCTGGTACTTGTCAGTGTGATGGGTGTGCAGGTGTGTACACTTGTCCTGTGTGGACGCTGCTCTGGTACTTGTCAGTGTGATGGGTGTGCAGGTGTGTACACTTGTCCTGTGTGGACGCTGCCCTGGTACTTGTCAGTGTGATGGGTGTGCAGGTGTGTACACTTGTCCTGTGTGGACACTGCCCTGGTACTTGTCAGTGTGATGGGTGTGCAGGTGTGTACACTTGTCCTGTGTGGATGCTGCCCTGGTAGTTGTCAGTGTGATGGGTGTGCAGGTGTGTACACTTGTCCTGTGTGGACGCTGCCCTGGTACTTGTCAGTGTGATGGGTGTGCAGGTGTACACTGTCCCCTGTGTGGACACTGCCCTGGTACTTGTCAGTGTGATGGGTGTGCAGGTGTGTACACTTGTCCTGTGTGGACGCTGCCCTGGTACTTGTCAGTGTGATGGGTAGACAGGTGTTTACACTTGTCCTGTGTGGACGCTGCCCCGGTACTTGTCAGTGTGATGGGTGTACAGTGTGTACACTTGTCATGTGTGGACGCTGCCCTGGTACTTGTCAGTGTGATGGGTGTGCAGGTGTGCACGCTGGCCCTTTGTGGACACTGCCCTGGTATTTGTCAGTGTGACGGGTGTACAGGTGTGTACACTTGTCCTGTGTGGACACTTCTCTGGTACTTGTCAGAGTGATGGGTAGACAGGTGTATACACTTGTCCTGTGTGGACACTACCCTGGTACTTGTCAGTGTGATGGGTGTCCAGGTGTACACTGTCTCCTGTGTGGATGCTGCCCTGGTACTTGTCAGTGTGATGGGTGTGCAGGTGTGTACACTTGTCCTGTGTGGACGCTGCCCTGGTACTAGTCAGTGTGATGGGTGTGCAGGTGTGTACACTTGTCCTGTGTGGACACTACCCTGGTACTTGTCAGTGTGATGGGTGTGCAGGTGTACACTGTCCCCTGTGTGGACACTGCCCTGGTACTTGTCAGTGTGATGGGTGTGCAGGTGTGTACACTTGTCCTGTGTGGACGCTGCCCTGGTACTTGTCAGTGTGATGGGTGTGCAGGTGTGTACACTTGTCCTGTGTGGACGCTGCCCTGGTACTTGTCAGTGTGATGGGTGTGCAGGTGTGTACACTTGTCCTGTGTGGACGCTGCCCTGGTACTAGTCAGTGTGATGGGTGTGCAGGTGTGTACACTTGTCCTGTGTGGACGCTGCCCCGGTACTTGTCAGTGTGATGGGTGTGCAGGTGTGTACACTTGTCCTGTGTGGACACTGCCCTGGTACTTGTCAGTGTGATGGGTGTGCAGGTGTGTACACTTGTCCTGTGTGGATGCTTCCCTGGTACTTGTCAGTGTGATGGGTGTGCAGGTGTGTACACTTGTCCTGTGTGGATGCTGCCCTGGTACTTGTCAGTGTGATGGGTGTGCAGGTGTGTACACTTGTCCTGTGTGGACGCTGCCCTGGTACTTGTCAGTGTGATGGGTGTGCAGGTGTGTACACTTGTCCTGTGTGGACGCTGCCCTGGTACTTGTCAGTGTGATGGGTGTGCAGGTGTGTACACTTGTCCTGTGTGGACGCTGCCCTGGTACTAGTCAGTGTGATGGGTGTGCAGGTGTGTACACTTGTCCTGTGTGGACGCTGCCCCGGTACTTGTCAGTGTGATGGGTGAGCAGGTGTGTACACTTGTCCTGTGTGGACACTGCCCTGGTACTTGTCAGTGTGATGGGTAGACAGGTGTATACACTTGTCCTGTGTGGACGCTGCCCTGGTACTAGTCAGTGTGATGGGTGTGCAGGTGTGTACACTTGTCCTGTGTGGACACTGCCCTGGTACTTGTCAGTGTGATGGGTGTGCAGGTGTGTACACTTGTCCTGTGTGGATGCTGCCCTGGTACTTGTCAGTGTGATGGGTGTGCAGGTGTATACACTTGTCCTGTGTGGACACTACCCTGGTACTTGTCAGTGTGATGGGTGTGCAGGTGTACACTGTCTCCTGTGTGGATGCTGCCCTGGTACTTGTCAGTGTGATGGGTGTGCAGGTGTGTACACTTGTCCTGTGTGGACGCTGCCCTGGTACTTGTCAGTGTGATGGGTGTGCAGGTGTGTACACTTGTCCTGTGTGGACACTACCCTGGTACTTGTCAGTGTGATGGGTGTGCAGGTGTACACTGTCCCCTGTGTGGACACTGCCCTGGTACTTGTCAGTGTGATGGGTGTGCAGGTGTGTACACTTGTCCTGTGTGGACGCTGCCCTGGTACTTGTCAGTGTGATGGGTGTGCAGGTGTGTACACTTGTCCTGTGTGGATGCTGCCCTGGTACTTGTCAGTGTGATGGGTGTGCAGGTGTGTACACTTGTCCTGTGTGGACGCTGCCCTGGTACTTGTCAGTGTGATGGGTGTGCAGGTGTGTACACTTGTCCTGTGTGGATGCTTCCCTGGTACTTGTCAGTGTGATGGGTGTGCAGGTGTGTACACTTGTCCTGTGTGGATGCTGCCCTGGTACTTGTCAGTGTGATGGGTGTGCAGGTGTGTACACTTGTCCTGTGTGGACGCTGCTCTGGTACTTGTCAGTGTGATGGGTGTGCAGGTGTGTACACTTGTCCTGTGTGGATGCTGCCCTGGTACTTGTCAGTGTGATGGGTGTGCAGGTGTGTACACTTGTCCTGTGTGGACACTGCCCTGGTACTTGTCAGTGTGATGGGTGTGCAGGTGTGTACACTTGTCCTGTGTGGATGCTGCCCTGGTAGTTGTCAGTGTGATGGGTGTGCAGGTGTGTACACTTGTCCTGTGTGGACGCTGCCCTGGTACTTGTCAGTGTGATGGGTGTGCAGGTGTGTACACTTGTCCTGTGTGGACGCTGCCCTGGTACTAGTCAGTGTGATGGGTGTGCAGGTGTGCACACTTGTCCTGTGTGGACGCTGCCCTGGTACTTGTCAGTGTGATGGGTAGACAGGTGTATACACTTGTCCTGTGTGGACGCTGCCCTGGTACTAGTCAGTGTGATGGGTAGACAGTGTGTACACTTGTCCTGTGTGGACACTGCCCTGGTACTTGTCAGTGTGATGGGTGTGCAGGTGTGTACACTTGTCCTGTGTGGATGCTGCCCTGGTACTTGTCAGTGTGATGGGTGTGCAGGTGTGTACACTTGTCCTGTGTGGATGCTGCCCTGGTACTTGTCAGTGTGATGGGTGTGCAGGTGTGTACACTTGTCCTGTGTGGACGCTGCTCTGGTACTTGTCAGTGTGATGGGTGTGCAGGTGTGTACACTTGTCCTGTGTGGATGCTGCCCTGGTAGTTGTCAGTGTGATGGGTGTGCAGGTGTGTACACTTGTCCTGTGTGGACACTGCCCTGGTACATGTCAGTGTGATGGGTGTGCAGGTGTGTACACTTGTCCTGTGTGGATGCTGCCCTGGTAGTTGTCAGTGTGATGGGTGTGCAGGTGTCTACACTTGTCCTGTGTGGACGCTGCCCTGGTACTTGTCAGTGTGATGGGTGTGCAGGTGTACACTGTCCCCTGTGTGGACACTGCCCTGGTACTTGTCAGTGTGATGGGTGTGCAGGTGTGTACACTTGTCCTGTGTGGACGCTGCCCTGGTACTTGTCAGTGTGATGGGTGTGCAGGTGTTTACACTTGTCCTGTGTGGACGCTGCCCCGGTACTTGTCAGTGTGATGGGTGTACAGTGTGTACACTTGTCATGTGTGGACGCTGCCCTGGTACTTGTCAGTGTGATGGGTGTGCAGGTGTGCACGCTGGCCCTTTGTGGACACTGCCCTGGTATTTGTCAGTGTGACGGGTGTACAGGTGTGTACACTTGTCCTGTGTGGACACTTCTCTGGTACTTGTCAGAGTGATGGGTAGACAGGTGTATACACTTGTCCTGTGTGGACACTACCCTGGTACTTGTCAGTGTGATGGGTGTGCAGGTGTACACTGTCTCCTGTGTGGATGCTGCCCTGGTACTTGTCAGTGTGATGGGTGTGCAGGTGTGTACACTTGTCCTGTGTGGACGCTGCCCTGGTACTTGTCAGTGTGATGGGTGTGCAGGTGTGTACACTTGTCCTGTGTGGACACTACCCTGGTACTTGTCAGTGTGATGGGTGTGCAGGTGTACACTGTCCCCTGTGTGGACACTGCCCTGGTACTTGTCAGTGTGATGGGTGTGCAGGTGTGTACACTTGTCCTGTGTGGACGCTGCCCTGGTACTTGTCAGTGTGATGGGTGTGCAGGTGTGTACACTTGTCCTGTGTGGATGCTGCCCTGGTACTTGTCAGTGTGATGGGTGTGCAGGTGTGTACACTTGTCCTGTGTGGACGCTGCCCTGGTACTTGTCAGTGTGATGGGTGTGCAGGTGTGTACACTTGTCCTGTGTGGATGCTTCCCTGGTACTTGTCAGTGTGATGGGTGTGCAGGTGTGTACACTTGTCCTGTGTGGATGCTGCCCTGGTACTTGTCAGTGTGATGGGTGTGCAGGTGTGTACACTTGTCCTGTGTGGACGCTGCTCTGGTACTTGTCAGTGTGATGGGTGTGCAGGTGTGTACACTTGTCCTGTGTGGATGCTGCCCTGGTACTTGTCAGTGTGATGGGTGTGCAGGTGTGTACACTTGTCCTGTGTGGACACTGCCCTGGTACTTGTCAGTGTGATGGGTGTGCAGGTGTGTACACTTGTCCTGTGTGGATGCTGCCCTGGTAGTTGTCAGTGTGATGGGTGTGCAGGTGTGTACACTTGTCCTGTGTGGACGCTGCCCTGGTACTTGTCAGTGTGATGGGTGTGCAGGTGTACACTGTCCCCTGTGTGGACACTGCCCTGGTACTTGTCAGTGTGATGGGTGTGCAGGTGTGTACACTTGTCCTGTGTGGATGCTGCCCTGGTACTTGTCAGTGTGATGGGTGTGCAGGTGTGTACACTTGTCCTGTGTGGACACTGCCCCGGTACTTGTCAGTGTGATGGGTGTACAGTGTGTACACTTGTCCTGTGTGGACACTGCCCTGGTACTTGTCAGTGTGATGGGTAGACAGGTGTGTACACTCGTCCTGTGTGGACACTGCCCTGGTACTTGTCAGTGTGATGGGTTTGCGTGCATGTGTATATGCTTGTCCCATGTGTGGACACTGGCACACTCAGCGCAGTCCCACCGTTATGAACAGATTGTGTACGTAAGCGTGCATGGGTGGATGCTGACAACCATGGAGTCTGTCTCTCACTTGTCAGTCTTTCCACTTTCAAAATGTTTCCCATGTAAGGAATTTTCCACCAAATCCCATTTTATTAAAAATCTTTGTCCAGAACAGATGTGGAATTTTCTCTACTATGTTTCTGGTATGATGCAAATAAATACCTGAGTTTCCCCTTAGCCTATTAGTACAGCAAATTATACTAACTTCTTACTATTGATTTATTCTGTATTCTTGGACTGTGCCCTACTTGGGTTTTTTTTTTTTTTTTTTTTTTTTGGACAGGCAGAGTGGACAGTGAGAGAGAGAGACAGAGAGAAAGGTCTTCCTTTGCCGTTGGTTCACCCTCCAATGGCCGCCGCGGCCGGCGCACCACGCTGATCCAAAGGCAGGAGCCAGGTGCTTCTCCTGGTCTCCCATGGGGTGCAGGGCCCAAGCACTTGGGCCATCCTCCACTGTACTCCCGGGCCACAGCAGAGAGCTGGCCTGGAAGAGGGACAACCGGGACAGAATCTGGCGTCCCAACCGGGACTAGAACCCGGTGTGCCGGCACCACAAGGTGGAGGATTAGCCTAGTGAGCCACGACGCCGGCCGCCCTACTTGGTTCTGACGTTGTACTCCATGTGTTACTGGATTACAATCATATTAGAGACGTCTTCTTTAGGATTTGTAAGAGAAAACTTATAATGGTACTGTACTATAATTTTTTTGTTTGGGTTATCTTACACCACTTCTAACATCAGTGTTGTTTTTCTAGTAGAGAATTTGAGAGTTTTCTTTCCCTGTTTAATCACCAGTGGACTTTTCAGTCCCTTAACAGTCAGCATTTTTGTAAACAATATCATTATAGCTGACTTGCCCATTCATTTCTTCAAGAAAGGCACACCTATGGACGTGTACATGGCTGGCCAGCACGCTTACCAAGGGCCCTAAGGACCACAAAGGCCCACCTGGGGACAGCGGCATGAATTCACCTGAGGCTGTCACGCTGCACGCACCGCTCAAGGGAGGGTGATCCAGGCAGTGGGAGGACTGCACAATCTGAGCCCCTGGACCACAGGCACCTGTCTCGGTGAGCACGAGAACCCTCTGTCCCGGCAGAGGAAACAGACACAGGTGGCCACCCCCACACCTCTGCAGAGACGGGATCCAAACAGAGCTGAGAAAGCAGCGGCCTGGCCCCCGACGGAGGAGCTCAGGGGAGACCCGGGAAGGTCTGTAAGAACCCGGGGAGTCCTGCTCGCTCTCTCTGGTTCCCTGCTCTCCTGAAATCCTGAGCCTCCTCCTTCCTCTTCCACCACCTTCAGGTGGGACAAGGCGGGGGTGGGCTTTCTCCTAGTTACTGAGCTGTCCACCCCCAGCCCCAAAACTCAACTCCTGCATCCTCAGAGGATAGACTCACATCCTGGCAGGGACCACAGCATGACAATGGCGCCGATTCAGCAAAAATCTCTTGGAAAACAGTGAATGAATAAATGAATGAATACGTTCTTCCAGGTAATAAAGGTATTGATTTTGATATTAATTTTAGGGCTCCAAGCTGTTAAATGTTGTATTTTAGGAGAGTGTGAAATAACAAGGGGAAATATTTATTACATAGCTTGAAGACATAATTACAATAAGATTTTTGTGAATGTATAAATCACACCCATGTGTAGGAAAAATACAAGAAAAAAATGAGATCAAATGACAGGACCACAGATTTCTTTTCTTCTCTCTGCTTTTCTGCATCTTCCTAATGTCCTTTCCATCCAGAACTTTTAGAATGGAAAAAAATAATAATAAACAAAACCTCCACAAAATGCCACGACCTGGACCGCACCTGTCAACACCTTTTGGTTAAACTATGCCCACAACCTGGGAAGCCTGCAGGGTTGCCGCGCTGCCCGGACTGTGACCCATGCTAACTGAGCTGCCCACACTGCTAAGTGAACGCTGGACTCTGCAGGTGCAGGAGCAGCTCCCACAGTGGGAGACTGTAGCAGGGTAAACAGAAAAAAAAAAAACCAAGTACCTTTTGAAGTTTAAACAAGAGCTTTGATCTTAAAGGAATCAGTTAAACTTTGAGAACAGGACTATGTAGGTTAAAAAAAAAATCAATCTTGAAGGCTTTTTAGTAACTATTCATCTGTATACTTATTTACCTACTTTGGCAGAGAGGATTATCTGAGGGTTTTTAATTGAATTATTTGGCTCCTGATCACCGTTCAAGTACCCAGCCTACTCCCACGCCCATCTTACTGTCAGAAACAAGCCTCGGAGAGTGAGATTAAATTGTCACGGGAGTTGTCATCACATCCTGTAAGCGCACTTAAGTCTCACATAAGACTGCATTACGGGGGTAGGCAATGTAGCACAGCAAACTAAGCCATCACTGGAGACACCCACGTCCAAACCTGGAGTTCCGGGTTCAAGTCCCACCTCCGCTTCCCAGCCAGCTTCCTGCTAACAGGCACCTTGGCAGGCAGATGATGGCCCAAGTTCTTGGGTTCCTGCCACCCATCTGAGAGCCCTGGTTGGAGCTCCTGGCTCCTGGCTTCAGCCTGGTCCAGCCCCAGTTGTTGCGGGCATTTGGGGAGTGAATCAGCAGACTGAAGACCTCCTTCTCCTCACCCTCACCTCCTGTCCTCTCCCCCTACTCCCAACCGTTCTCTGCCACTCTGCCCTTGAAAACAATAAATCTTCAACAGAAATGCATTATGACAGGGGGTTTGTTTTTTTTGTTTGTTTGTTTGTTTGTTTGTTTACAGGCAGAGTGGACAGTGAGAGAGAGAGAGACAGAGAGAAAGGTCTTCCTTTTGCCGTTGGTTCACCCTCCAATGGCCGCCGCGGCCGGCGCACCGTGCTGATCCGATGGCAGGAGCCAGGTGCTTCTCCTGGTCTCCCATGGGGTGCAGGGCCCAAGCACTTGGGCCATCCTCCACTGCACTCCCTGGCCACAGCAGAGAGCTGGCCTGGAAGAGGGGCAACCGGGACAGAATCCGGCGCCCTGACTGGGACTAGAACCCGGCGTGCTGGCACCGCAAGGCGGAGGATTAGCCTAGTGAGCCGCGGCGCCGGCTATGACACGGGGGTCTTCCACATGCAGGTGGACAACGAGGAGCAGGGGCAGCGCTCACCACTTCCGGGTAGCACTCTGCACCTGGAGCTGCCACGTTGAATTTCCAGACCTACACAGGGAAGGTACGCTCCGCCAAGCCCACGGGTTGATGAACGGTGGAGGTCACACAGATCACCCAGAAGCAGGACTCAAGAGAAGACCCACAGAGCCGCTCCCTAAATGGGGGTGGGGCAGCAGGGGAGATGGGCGGGGGGCAGTAACAGCTTCCTCTCCACAAGGCCCGAATGGCCCCAAATCCTTTTGTTTCCTGCAGAGAAGTAGCTGTGACAGGCAGGAGACAGGCCATGGGAGGAAGCACCTGGGCCACATCTGATCACCCAAGCACGCCCTGGGCTGACGATCCACAAGAAAGCCCCCCACTCCCCGCAGCAGACGCTGGTTCTCAGGAAGCAACCGGCAGACCTGAAGCTGTGCCCCCTGGGTGCCCGGAGGAAAGGCACCAGGACTCACATTCCCAGAGCCCCGGCGGCTTGCCCAGCCCTGGACTGGGGCTTCTTGACTCAGGTGACTCCACTTACACTGTGAAACCCACCAGGCAAGCACCCGTCTCTCACTGCTGTAGGGACAGCACAGCTCAGAGATGCCCCAGCTGCACAGTGACCTGACCCTGGATCCCATCCCAGCTTCCTGTCTGCAAGTCCAGGAAGCCCCATCCCTGAGCCCCCAGGAATGGGGAGGATTTAAGCTGGCATCCCCCCAATACTTTACAGGGGGTCCCAGCCTTCCCTAGGGGAACCCCCTCTGCCCAGCACCCACTGGTACCACTGGGTAATAAAACCTTGGGAGGAGGCTGGCGCAGCGGCTCACTAGGCTAATCCTCCGCCTTACGGCGCCGGCACACCAGGTTCTAGTCCCGGTCGGGGCACCGGATTCTGTCCCGGTTGCCCCTCTTCCAGGCCAGCTCTCTGCTGTGGCCCGGGAAGGCAATGGAGGATGGCCCAGGTGCTTGGGCCCTACACTCCATGGGAGACCAGGAGAAGCACCTGGCTCCTGCCTTTGGATCAGCGTGGTGTGCCAGCTGCGGCGGCCATTGAAGGGTGAACCAACAGCAATGGAAGACCTTTCTCTCTCTCTCTCTCTCTCTCTCTCTCTCACTGTCCACTCTATCAAAAAAAAAAAAAAAAAAAAAAACAACCTTGGGAGGAATTTTACCTGCTTCATACCCAGGAAGCCTTTCCTCCAGGAGGAGAGGGAGGAGAAATGGGTGGGAAGCACTGGACCCCCCCCCACCACCACCACCGTTCCCCTTACTAGCCCCGGTCTGAACACAGACGGCGTGCTCAGACCTTCGCTGAGATGCCCGCCTGGCCAGCCAAGTGTATTCTCTCCATCATGCTCCGTAGCCTTGCCCTCCCCAGTCTGAATGGCTGGGCACGCTCTCTCAGACCCCACCTGGAGAAGTTCCCATCCATTCTGATGGATGCCCTACCCCATTCAGCCTTGCTACCTTGCTGACCACTCCTCTCGGTCTCACACACGAAGACAAGAACCTATCCCACCCATCTCCGCTACCATTCCTACCCACAGGCGTGA